CGCACAAAATCCAAATTGATCAGCTGCTATTTAATTTGCTAAAAGTGGTATCTATGTAAAAATTGGTTAAAGAAATCGACTTTTTAATCGTAAAATTGTGAAAAGGAGGTTGTGTATTTTCATTTATTAGGGTACGTCGTTGCCGCTTGGGTTTTTTACGGTCCAAGGCCAGGTCGCAAATAATGATCCAACACATAATACGTGATTTCACTTGTCATAGTCATTGAAAAAAGTCCTTTCGAAAGGGCTGAAATTTAACTTCAGTATTTTCCCAGCCCCTTAACACAAACTTTGGAGCGTTATAGTAACTTTAAAGTGTTCTGTCGCAACGTAAATCTAAAAGCTCCAATGTGCTCCTGGGTTTGCTGCCCACCATATGCGTAGTTCGGAACTACTGTCAAGAACACTGGTCAGGGTGTAGGTAAGTGTATTACGAGAACTTAAACTGTCCACGACGAATACCAAGACCGAAGGAGGGCTACACTGAAATTAGTGTCTCTGTTGTTTTATATTCTGGTCCTTAATTACTACGTGAAAGGAGAATGACAAGACCGCCAAATTAAAAGTTTCAGTGAATCTACGGAGATGGCAAATGATGACGCAGGCCAAGAACAATCAGTATTCTTGTTAAAAGCTCATGTATTAGGGCCTAGGGCAGAAACTTCCGACAGGAAATTCTTTCTCTAAACCAAATCCCTTGAACCGAAATGACGTGCTTCTCCTTCACCTATATTTTTAACTTAAAACCACTTCAAAACTAGTACTGGGAAACTATCATGATATAATGATAAAAAACTAAGTGCCCCGGGAACTCCCAGGGATAGTTGAGTGTACATCTTCGAGAAATCCCAACGAATGTTCAACAGTAAGGTGCATTGTCACCCTAATTTGTTACGCAGGCGCAGTCCGGCGAGACGCGCGTGCTTCACCGCTACACTCTGCACCCGCTCGTTAGGCCTGATAGGGGCAGTGTTATTTAACGATTATGTGGCATACCCGTACAGTGGCCACTCGCATAGCCGCGCCTCTCATAGCTGCGTTAAGCTCTACTAGCCTGACCCCACTGCTGACCGCCATACACTGTTGGCGTAGATTCTGATTGTTCTCTGATTACTGTTCAACAACTTTGAAGCTAAACAACACATACAGCACTGTGGCTTCATCCTTCGGCCGGCCATCCAGCGGAGATGGGGGTTCCTCGCATAGCCGCGCCGGTCTACAGAGGAGAACCGTGCGGCGCGGCTATGCGAGTGGCCACTGTATTTTGTTCAGGTCAGCAACATTCGCAAAACAATTAAAATTGAAAGTGAGAAAATAAAACCATTTTAAATAGGCAACAACACAATTGTACTCACCCCATGCTGCCATTAATTTCGAAGGCATCAATAAGGCTCCAGGCACAAAAACTAATAACCTTAGCCCCACAGGAGTTCATGGTTGAAACTAGTGTTCGAAGTGACGCCTGTGAACATTTCGTGAATTTTAATATTAATTCGAAAAAGGCAAGCGAACTAAAAAGTGTTTAATTACTTACGCTGTAGTAAGCTGCTCTCAGCTCGTCCTTCATTCCGTGACCACTAACATCACACCATCCATTTTCAGTAATAATTAGTGGTTTCTTATACGTGTTCCAGGCCCACGCCACGGCGTTGTGTAGGTATTCAGGATGAATCTGTGCGGTGAAACATACAGACAGAATCATTATAATGATCGTTCTACACTCAAATATGCAGTCAATAGTCAAAGTAACTGGCAGAAACTTCACAAAATCTGTTGTCGTTTTTTTTCCTAAATTACGTCAGTAATACTACAGTTCTGAAAATGTTCCAATTCGTCCTGAGATTCACTGTTCAGGGTGCAATCAGTTTTTAGGTACACAAGCAGTTAAGGTTTTAGTACTTCTGTACACTGTCATAAATTACGGGATCGACCTCCATTTATTTTCCATCAGATCTCGTACCTTGGAAGAACGGTGTCAACGTACAAACTAGGTGCCAAATCTGGTACAGGGTGTATCAGTACGGGACGACAGTAGAAAAAAACACGATACAGTAAGGCCGTACTTTTAAACCATACGGCCGCTTTTGATCGCTTTTGATGCTACGGTCGCACCGTATTAGACGTGAACGTACTGGCCTTCGATTCTCTACAGTTGGTCTTAAAGTTCAAAAAATGTAAATTCTGCAAATCTGAGTTGAATGGCTTTAAATGTGCACCTAATACTTTTGATTTGTGACAGATACAAACCTTAAGCTTGGTTTCGCTTTTGGAACACATCTGGCCTTTTGTTAAGGCTTTAAAACTCAAACAGTCACCGAAATTGTCATATTGTTGCTACACATCAAAAATATCCACAGGAGTATTCTTTTGGTTCCTTAAAAATCTATTATTTTCAGATTGCTCGCATAATTTACTTCAAAGCGAGTAAAGGACCATCATGTCGTTATGAATTTTTTTGGGACCAGAACGCCGGCCTTCGAAAAAAATTCTGGTGGTTGAATTTGCAATTTGTCAGAATTATTTGTTTCGTCTGTCTATTAAAAATAACTCTACGTTATAAGAAGAAACCATTCGAAGCGAAAGTGGGGTCGAACGTACGGTCACACAGAAAAATTACGTATTTAGCAACATACCCCTTCAAAGAACTGCACCGATTGTGGATTGGTTATGTCAAGAGCAACATTGGGAAGGTACTTCATTGTTTTTCCTAAAAGTAAAGCTGCGGCCTCTGCCTCGTCTGCTGTTGGTTTTCTCCAGCCGGCCTTCCCGCCATTGTAGACGTTAACCCCAATGTAGTCCGAACTTCCTGAAAACAATATTGAGATTTATCTTACAAATTTTGGATACACCAAACAATAAGCTAGGTCCGTATGTTGATACAGACACTTGTATAGTTTAAGTAAGAACATGATACGCTCAAATCACGCAAAAATTGTCTTGTCCAAAAATTGCAGAAAACGCCATGTTAACCCGAATAATTGAAAGAATTCCGTTGGTTAAATTTTGTTGTTAAACTGATAAGCCAAGTCAATAGATCCTCAACATTTTCAGGAGTGCAACTGCAAGTTGGATGCTTGCAAGTGTTCTATCGTAGCAGTACACTTGCAAGTGCTCATTCTCGGCAGAAGTGCATTTGGAAATGTGCACCTTCTCTATTAAATTTATCACTTCCTCTACACTGAGCGTGCAATTTAAGGGGGCAGACCTGTGAATTGGAGGGTTTGGGAAAATAGTCACTACATAAAAACTACACGCCGCATCAATTTAGGATAAAATGTGTATTAAGAGCATAGATGGACGCTCATTTTGCCGTTGGCGCCGGTGCGCGCACTGCGCACTCCCCAGGAACATGTTCATCTTCACCTCCAACTGGGCGATGCAGTCTGGTTGGTGTGCACGATTGTGCTGCAACGGATTTGTCTGCGACTGTCAACAAAATTGCTACTAACTGTAAAAGGATGCTGCTAGTCGTTGACCAAGGGGTTTTGCAAATTTCGAGATGGAAGTACTCGAAAAAAATCATATAGCTGAAATACAAAAAAATGGAAAAAGTTGTTTTGTCTATTGTGATTTTTTTCGAGTACTTCCATTTCCAAATTTGCTAAACCCCCAGGTCAACCACTACAGGCATCTTTTAAGAGTAACTAGCAATTTTTTTGACCGTCGCAGACCCATCCGTTGCGCTGCAATCGTGCACACGAAAAGAACTGCATCGTTCCAGTTGAAGGCGAAGATGTTCCTGGAGAGTGTGCGTACTGGCGCCAACGGCAAAATTAGCGTGCATCTATGCTCTTACTACATCTTTAATCACTGAGCGAAGCTCAGTCCAGGTCGCTGAGGGGTCAGGCGATGTCTCTGTCGTGAGTCTGTCTGTCTGACTGTCTGTGTGTAACATTCCGTATTTCCTCAAAATGTGCTGAACTGACAGCAAAAGCGTGTTTCTCTAAGAATCGGCAATTAAATTCGTGAATTCACGAGTATTATATGTGTGCATTATTTGATGCATTGGTCAGCTTTGAAATATTCAATTGTTTTATTTGAACTCGCGCGTACCGTTCGCTGGTATGTTGGCAGCACTGCACTCGAGTGGGTGAAGAGCACCATCGGCTCCGGCGCTCACTTCGCGTCTTTGATACTCTCCAG